TGCGGCAAGCATGAACGGCTCGTCCGTGACACGGGATTCGCGCCGCGTGGGGCAGAGAGGAGCGAGTATGAGAAGCATTCACAGATTCAAGCTCTTCTGAATTGGGAATAGCGAACATGCATTATAAACTTGTTTCAAATGAATCTGTTGGGGGGATAAAATGTGTAAGATAACGTTCACATACTAACACGCGAGTCGACAGGTTGCGCGTGTACGCCTCATCCATACTGCCAGATGCGCTCGTGGAGACTTGCGGAGCCGGGTGCGAGTATAAACGAGCATTACGAGACAGGCTGCGTGAGTGCGGCAAGCATGAACGGCTCGTCCGTGACGCGGGATTCGCGCCGCGTGGGGCAGAGAGGAGCGAGTATGAGAAGCATTCACAGATTCAAGCTCTTCTGAATTGGGAAGAGCGAACATGCATTATAAACTTGTTTCAAATTAATCTGTTGGGGGGATAAAATGTGTAAGATAACGTTCACATACTAACAAAACATCTAAGAATGTATCTTTTATTCTCCAGTACTGAAAACAGAACCGATAAGGGAGCTTTTGATATGCGCTGTGATGCAGCTCTTGCAAATGACCTTTTTTGTTCATTGTCTGTCATTTCGAATCTTAAGTTGCATATGTTTTTCTTTAGTTTTAATTTGCCTAACTATTGATCTGACCCAGTAGACGCCATAATCACACTCTGTCTCTCTCCTGTCCCGCTTTTTCTTATTTTTAATTTTTTAATGGTGGGTGTTTACGCAGTTGGCTAGAGCAGTGCTGATTGGGGAGAACGGAGGTGCGCTCACTCTTGCCCAGGGCAAGTAAGACTGCAACTCAAGGCTGGCAGTCATGCATATGCACTGGAACAGAGTAATATCGCATCCACATCGCAGGCTTTGCACAGCCCTACTTTAGACTGGAGTTCATTTCGAAGCTTAAGTTGCATACGGTTTTCTTTAGTTTTAATTTGCCTAACTATCGATCTGACCCAGTAGACGCCATAATCCCACTCTGTCTCTCTCCCGTCCCGCTTTCCGTTTTTTGCTTATTTTTAATTTTTTAATGGTGGGTGTTTACGCAGTTGGCTAGAGCAGTGCTGATTGGGGAGAACGGAGGTGCGCTCACTCTTGCCCAGGGCAAGTAAGACTGCAACTCAAGGCTGGCAGTCATGCATATGCTCTGGAACGGAGTACTATCGCGTCCACATCGCAGGCTTTGCGATTAGTAAATCGCAACGTCTCAAATCGCGATTTCGATTCGATTAATCGCACAGCCCTAACACTCACACACACTCACTCACATTACTGCAGTGTAAGTGTAAGGTCAGCTGTGTTTGGTGTGAAGAGGTTTCTGTTTCCTGTTTGAAAGTGGACAGGACAGGAAGCGGGTGTCAGTACCTGTGTCTCAGGGTCTTCAGCGCCCAGACTGGCCGCTCCCAGTTTGACCACATCAGCCAGTTTAGTGATGGTGTTAACAGACGACTGCGCAGCCTGAGCCAGTTTCTCTTGACTTGCTCCTGCTCCAGACACCAGCAGCTTCGTGTCCTCCACCAGAACTTTAGCCGTCTTCAGGATGTGCTCTCTGACAAACCACAGGAAACACAAAACTATTAACATCACAATCCGCTAATGATGAAACATACTGACACTAACGGATAAACAAACACATACAGGGGGCGACAAAGATTATATAAAAGGAAAGACACTTTTCTGTTACTAAAATTGTTTGTAATTTGCTATAAGTGCATCATGTTGTTAGATTACTTCTAATAATAAAGTGATGAGTGAAGTCTTTTTTTTTTTTTTTACTTAAATTGACAATGTAGTAAAACGTTAGCAAAGGGCTAGACTTTTTGCTAAAACAATCTAGCAATGCCTAGAAGAGTGGTCTGATTGTTTCTTTGGGGCGACAAAGATTATATAAAAGGAAAGACACTTTTCTGTTACTAAAATTGTTTGTAATTTGCTATAAGTGCATCATGTTGTTAGATTACTTCGAATAATAAAGTGATGAGTGAAGTCTTTTTTTTTTTTTTACTTAAATTGACAATGTAGTAAAACGTTAGCAAAGGGCTAGACTTTTTGCTAAAACAATCTAGCAATGCCTAGAAGAGTGGTCTGATTGTTTCTTTGTGGTCTTTTGAGGTTTAATTGGATCTGAAAAGGTTTACTGGGGACTGAACTGGTTTGATATGGTTTCTTGTGAGTCTAATGAGGTCAAACGGGGTTTGAAGTGGTCAAATATGGTCTATTTGATTCATCTGAATTTCTTTGTCAATCTGACAATAAAATCTTCAAGCCTCAAGCTTTTAAAACAGTTTCACACTTTCAGGCCAGGCTTTTTCAAGCTAACTTCAACGTTTGTCTTCAAACTTTATCGGTCTACTTCAATTTGACGTTAAAACAGTTTTATTCTGTGATTTCTAAAATGTCATTAGATCTGCTGAAGCTGACTGGAGCCACAGCGTAAATGCATCTGAATTTCTTTGTCAATCTGACAATAAAATCTTCAAGCCTCAAGCTTTTAAAACAGTTTCACACTTTCAGGCCAGGCTTTTTCAAGCTAACTTCAACGTTTGTCTTCAAACTTTATCGGTCTACTTCAATTTGACGTTAAAACAGTTTTATTCTGTGATTTCTAAAATGTCATCAGATCTGCTGAAGCTGACTGGACCCACAGCGTAAATGTCACATATGTGACCATGGAGCACAAAAGCAGTGTTAAGTTGCTGGGGTATATTTGTAGCAATAGTCAAAAATACATTGTATGGGTCAAAATTATAGATTTTTCTTTTATGCCAAAAATCATTAGGATATTAAGTAAAGATATTTTGTAAATTTCCTACTGTAAATATATCAAAACTTAATTTTTGATTAGTAATATGCATTGCTAAGAACTTCATTTGGACAACTTTAAAGGCGATTTTCTCAATATTTAGATTTTTTTTGCACCCTCAGATTCCAGATTTTCAAATAGTTGTATCTCAGCCAAATATTGTCCTATCCTAACAAACCATACATTCAGCTTATTTATTCAGCTTTCAGATCATGTATAAATCTCAATTTCGAAAAATTGACTGGTTTTGTGCTCCAGGATCACATATAGGGACTGGAATCATTAGGAACTGAATGATTCTGGTTCTTTAACGGTTTCATTAACAAAACATCCCTAGCATCTGGGCTGATCTGCAAACAGCTGTGTTCCTGTAGTTTAAACATTAGAGCAAGGTGTTTGGTGTGAGCAATTTGAGTGACATTTGGTGTCACTCAAATGTCCACTGGGCAGTTTGGGCGCTGTAGTTTTGGCGGAGGGAGTACCTGTGGTCTGCAAACGTCTCGGCGTTCTCTCGGTTGAGAGTGCCTGCGGTGGCAAACATGATGGTGGTGTCCAGATCAGCGATGATGCCAGAAACAGCACTGGCAGCAGTAATGCAGGCCTGAGTGCCACGATTGCCCGCCTGAAGAGCTGCTAACACGTGAGACACCTGAGAGAGAATACAGATATTAGGAGTCCCATCAAGACTGAAATGACATCCTTAAGTCCAGTAAGAGAAGATCTACTGTGAACCTTCTCGGAGACTTTCCGAGCGCTGTCGATGAGCTCTTTTTTGGTGTAGGAGTCGTTTGGACTGCACTGCAGCGCTCCTGCTTTACTGACCAGACCAGTGCAGCTGTAGCCCAGCTCTGTCACCTGCTTCCTGATGTGTGAGCCGATCTGAAGAACAAAACACCTAACCGTTAACTAACACCTTAAATACGGCTCTAGTCGGGATTTCAATAAAAGAAATCCAAGAAACAGCTCAACTATGCAAAGTATCTCTATTTGACAGCTGATTGGGGGAAGAGTTAAAAAATAAGAGGGCGTGGTCAGTTGAAAAGTAAAAGAAAATGCAATACTGTTCAAAATTTTGGAGTCATTGAAATTTTGGTCACACTTTATTTTAAGGTTCAGTTCTCGCTATTAACAAACCATTAACAATTACTTTTGCCTCAATAAACTCCTAATTTGCTGCTTATTAATAGTTAGTAAGGTAGTTGTTAAGTTTAGGTATTTGGTAGGATTAGAGATGTAGAATATGCTCAAGCAGAATATGTGCTTTATAAGCACTAATAAACAGCCAATATATTAATAACAGGCATGTTAATAAGCATCTAATTAATAGTGAGAATTTGTCCTTATACTAAAGTGTTACTGATTTTTTTTATTCAGCAAGGATCAATTTAATATAAATATATATCACATTACAGCATTATTCAAATAAATGCTGTTCTTTTGAACTTTCTATTCATCAAATAATTCTGAAAAAAAAAAAGTTTTCACAAATGTTTCCACAAAAATATGAAGCAGCACATTTTCAACATTGATAATCAGAAATGTTTCTTGAACAGCAAATCAGCATATTAGAATGATTTCTGAAGGATCAATATTTCACAATGTTATTGCTTTTAAAACATAAAAAAAACAAACCTTATTGACCCCAATAAGTTTCTTTACTAAGAATACAAACATTCAGAATAAGTTCTCAATAAGAGCAGCAACATGCAGAAACAGTAAATGGAGTCACTTTCATATAAATTATAACATTATGTGGAAAGGCCATAAAATCTACAGAAAAGGAAAGCATGTGTCACGATACCTCGTCATTCTCGGCAGTCATGGCTGCACATCTGGCCTCGGACGCCAGGTCACCGAACTCTGTGGTCAGCTGATTGGCCAAACCGCCCAGCTCATCAGGGTTAGTGTTGGATTTGGTAACCTGGCAACACAGCATTTCAAAAACACACCGTCAGCCTTTACTTCTCTATAAATACGGCATAATTCTCCCTTCTGGAACTATTTTGAACCATAACATCGAAAACAAAAATGAATGAAAAATATATTCAAGGCAAGCAATTGTAAGTGAAAATGCCTAGGAGTGACTGTGGAAAAATATCTAACTCATTAATTTATATGATACCACCAGAATAAAAATGCACTCTCCGGTGCAAATGTTTTATTATGTAATTGGCTGCTTGGCCTTCTCTTCTACTGACGTCATTAGAAAAATGTATATAAAATCTATTATAGTTTCTACAATTGATTCTGCTTTTCCTTTTTATCTCTGTGAAGCTGCTTTGACACAATCTGTAGTGTATAAAGCATTATAGAAACAAAGGTAACTTTTAGTCTGAAATTAACTTTTCCTACAGGGCATCTTCTCTTCTACGGACTACTCAACATAAAAAGCATGAATAAGTTTGCTGCTGTGTAACAGAACGAAGGCAAGACTATTAATTGTCTGCTAATTTTTGGCAGTGTCCAATCAGGAGCCAAGCTGATTACAACCCACCTGTGTCTTTCAGCAAAACATAATTATTAATTTATGAGAACATTACTGGCTTTAATTAACCGGCTTTTCATGGATATCATTAAAGTTTGATTGATATATTTTCATGTTCATTCATATTTGAACACTCAAAAAATAGTTAATTGTTAAACACTGTATAATGTTTGTTAACAAGTATTTATAATATATTACAATATAGTTTATCAGACGTTCTTAAGGTGACAATTCAGGGATGCTTGTCAGGTTAACTATAACACATTATTTACACACTTTTTAGTTAATGTCCTTCGTTACAAGTCCAGTGTATTTCTGAATTCCGTACTAAACCCTAATTCTGTTTTCAGTTCATGTTTGTTCATATATTGTATTTTGCCCCCCCAGCCACAGTGGCTTTTCCCATTCCCCCCCAATTCTTAATTCTACAGTCACTCAGACTGTTCCAGCACTAGTTTTTACCATCTCCTGAACGGTCACAGCGATAGCTTTAGCCGTCTTCACCATCGTGGTCTGATAATCCACAAACGTTCCTTCCGGTTCGATTCCAGGTCCGTCTTCCATCTTATTGATGGCTTGAGAGATGGAGTTGACCATGCCGCCCACTGCTCCTGCAGCACTAGCCGCCTCTGACAGAGTCGCAGCCAGATCATCCACCGCCTCCTTCATCATCTGAACCGACTCCTCCAGAGCCTCCTGTGTGTGAGCCGCCTGAGGACACACACAGACACAGAGACACACACACACACGGACACATGGACACGGACGCGCACACAAAGACGAAGACACACGCACGTGCATGCACACACAAACACACACACACACACACACAGAGAGGGAGTACTGTGAGACTGAGCACTACAGCAGATCTCCAACAGATACAACACTGTTCAAAAGTTTGGGATAAGTAAAATTTTTAATGGAGTCTCTTTTGCTCATCAAGGCTAGAATAACAAGAATACAGAAAAAAACAGTAATATTGTGAAATATTATTGCAATTTCTAATATTGGTTTCCTATTTTAATATACTTTAAAATGTAATTTATTCCTGTGATGAAGTGCTGTATTTTCAGCATCATTACTCCAGTCTTCAGTGTCACATGATCTTCAGAAATCAGTATAATATGCTGATTTATTATCAGTGTTGAAACTGTTGTGCTGCTGAATATTATTTTGGAACCTGTGATACTTTTATCTTTGATTCTTTGATGAATAAAAAGTTAAAAAGAACAGCATTTATTCAAAATAGAAATATTTTCTAACAGTTTTACTATCACTTTTTATCCATTTAACACATCCTTGCTGAATAAAACTATTAATTTCTTTTAAAAAAAGAAAAAATGTACTGACCCAAAACTTTTGAATAGTAGTGTATGTTGTGACACAATTTCATTTTAAATAAACACTGTTCTTTTAAACTTTTATTTATCAAATATTCCTGAAAAAAGTATCACAGGTCCCAAAAAATATTAAGCAGCGCAACATTTTTCAACACTGATAATAAATCAGAATATTAGAATGATTTCTGAAGGATCATGTGACACTGAAGACTGGAGTAATGCTGGAGAATGCCTTGCTTCACAGGAATAAATTATATTTGAAAGTATATTAAAATAGAAAATTGTAGAACATTTTTAATTTCAATATTTCTGTATTTTTGATTAAATAAATGCAGCCTTGAGGAGCAAGAAGAAACTTATTTTAAAAGTGCCATAGAATGCATTAATACAATATTTTAAATTGTTCTCTGATGTCCCCAGAGTGTGTATGTGAAGTTTTATCTCAAAATACCCCAGAGATAATTTTTCTAGCTTGTTGAAATTGCTACTTTTAGGGTATGAGCCAAATCATGCTGTTTTTTGTGTTTGTCCCCTTTAAATGAAAATGAGCTGGTGCTCCCGCCTCCCTTTTCAGAAGAGTGCGGAGCTTCAAGAGCTCATGGTGTCGCGGGCTTTTGTGTTTGTCCCCTTTTTAAGAAAATGAGCTGGTGCTCCCGCCTCCCTTTTCAGAAGAGTGCGGAGCTTCAAGAGCTCATGGTGTCGCGGGCATACCGGTGTTACGGTTTAACTGGTGGTGGCCGTGTTACTGACCACACATTGCTTCCAAATGCAATTTTTAACTACCACATTCCCTATTTACGATCATTCTGGTAGCATGTGAAGGCAGCATTAGTGAATACAGGCAGAGACAATGGTAGCTTTAGCAACATTAGCCTTACAGAGAGCCAAGAAGCTCTTTTGGAAAACAAAATATGACGCGTGATGTTTACTTTGTCTGGAGTCTGTACGTTTGCGCACGAAGCGTTGGTATCGATCCCTCTTTCAGAAGCAATCTTTGCACAACTCAGCGCTGAACTGACCCTCGTTTGTGAGGCAGTCCGGCGTAAAATGTTAGCACAAACGTATAGGACTTCTCCGTTTTTTTCCGGGACATTTCCTCCGAAAATTAAATTTAACCACCGTGTCCTCAGCGGTCTATGGAGACTCTTATGTTCATTGGTGCATCCCAACACACAACACTTTTAATGGCTCTTTGGCGCTGACATTGTACCTCCAGCAGCTACTGCAAGAAAACAGTAATGGCGGACCGCTGCTTCTCACTCAGGGCTGTGTAT